CTCAGGACCTGTGAGGCATGGATAATACTGTATGTCCCATAAAATCCTTATAGAGAAAATCACTCCTGCACAATGACACTCAAGTACATGTTTTTCTCATTTTCTGTTTAAAAGCAACTGCTTTCACACAGTGCATGCATTCAACACTTACATAACTTTAAATGGACGTCCTAATAGAATGCAATGTTCCCAACAAATGGACATCAAGCTGTTTCGAAGGGAGCTTGATCCACCTCCATATCACATTTTCCGTGGCCTCTCGTTTTTAAACATCGACAGGAGGTCACAACATCCATGATGCACTAACAAGTTATTGCTGCGTTTTTAAATGCCGTGTGGGCCTAAAACTTCTCTACAGTGAAATGAATGGATGTCTGAGAGCAAAGTTTGTTTATTGATTTATTTTCTATTCCATTTTCATTGAGCCGTACCCTATTCCCACCTGTTCTTCTAGTTATTTTATTAGTTTGAATGTACTCCAGGCACATACTGCAAAGATGGTGGATTATTTGTGCTAGTTTAAAGTTGTTCAGTTGCACATCTGTTACAACCCTATCGTTGAGCTCGTAGGGGAAGAGGAAAGTAACATAAGAAAACCAAGATGTAGAATGGTAAATTAAATGGCCTTTAATAAAATAGGCAAAAGGGGGTAACAGAATGTATACTGGACCACTTGAGTCAAAACAAAACACAGGATTCTCAATTCACTAAATCAAAACACAAACACAGAGCCACACAAGCAATCTTAATTTCTAAGTTTAGCGCACACAGAAACACGTTCTCTCAGACCGGCGGCAGACAAGACACTGACTCAAGCCGCCCCGCACAGAAGGAGCAGGCTGATTTTCAAGGCTGGTGCTGATTAGCCGCAGCGACGGATTGGCCAGACGTGGAGAGCGCGACCCAATCTCAGAACCAAGGGAGCAGAACTGGGAGGCAGCGGGCGTAACCGGTGCACCATGCAGCGGGGCGGAGCCTGGGCAGAACAGCAGCACAGTAGAGCCCTGCACTTGAGCCCTTGGCCCGAGGGCCGGGCTTCGGGCCGATGACCGCATAATGACCTCGGACACGGGCCGGGCTCGGGCTCTTCATTTTCAGAGCGGCAGAATAGATTTACGAACGCACCCACTGAATATAGCGTTCTATCACGCTGTAGTGTTTGTTGTTCTGTGTAGTGTTGTCATTGACGGCACATAGCGTTACTTACAGGTGTGTTGCAGCATCTGGGCATCATACAGATGCGGCCGTTCACTCTGCACCACTCCGCATACACAGAACTCATTGCAACACATCACTACCATGTATAACTCCGCCCTCTAGCTAAGTCTGCGTTCATATCAGTGCGCGGCACTATATACTACGCTAAAACATTGTTATGGGAGGTTACAAAAAAAAAAAAAAAGGCGGGCTTGATGCGGGTTTCGGGCCTGAAAATTGAGAAACCATATCGGGCCGGGCCGGGCTGGGGCGCCACCCCCTCGGGCCAGGGCCGGGCTTGGGCCCAGATAATAGGCCCGTGCAGGGCTCTACAGCACAGCACATGAGGGAGGGAAGCGGGTGTGGCGCGGCCCAGTGCCAGCGGCCGTAACAACACCCAATATTACAGTTACTACTGATACTAATATTAGTTAATTACAGCCATTGTTATTGACGAACACAAGAAAGTAAAGCAAAGTTTGAGAACTAGACTTAATCATAGAATTAATCCTACATTTTGAGACAATCTTCAATCTCTGGTTGTACTTGTCCACAACTGTAAAGCACTTTGTGACTCTGGTCTGTGAAAGGTCAGAAGATTCCGGTCCGTGCGGTGCAAGACCACCCGCCATGCGTGTGGTCCTGAGATCTGCTTCTCTTGTAGCTCCTTTGTAGCGTCTTAATAATGCTTTTAAGTGTTTTATATGTGCATCACTGTGTCTCTCTATTTTTATTCTGTTTGTCTGTGTGCTTTGTTGTGTTGCTGCCCCGGTGTCTCCCGTTTGTATTCCAATGTAGTCTTTTTCTTCAAATTGCAAATAAATTGATTCGGATTCGGATTCTGATTTTGAAAGGCGCTATATAATTAAAGAATACTTACTTCTCACTGTCATTGTGAGAATTAGTGTAACGCTTTAATTGCTACTCATTATTCAGATTTGCCAACATGAAAGGACAAAGTGATTTCATGTCAAGGGCCAAAGTTAATAGAAACGTAATTGTTGTACTGGATTTCACTAATGAACATGATGAGAACTAAACTAAAGCAAACGGCTTATACGGCACATTATTATATATTTATTTGATTTGAAATTTAAAATTGTTTCTATGAGATAAAAAGAGATACAACTGTACAATTCCACACTCTGTCCTGCTTTACGTATGTGCAGGGGCGGTCGCAATAAAGTATGAAACCCTGTTTGATAATGAAGCAATCTTTATCAAATGCAATTATCAATCAACTTTTATTATAAACCTCAATTCATGCAGTGAAACCCAAAGAACTTTACAAAGACTAAATCGGTCACTTCTACAAGCATTATAAACATATGAGTTAAAACAATCATGAAAACACTCTCAATGTTAGAATGAAAACTCAATATAAAAAAAGATAAAAGTCATACGCACAGCAAAATAGAACTGTTTTCAGCCTGGACTTATCACTGGCAGAGATGAGGCCTCCTGTTTCAGATCCTAGGGCCATACGCACCTCAAGTCAATACTATCATGTTACCAAAGCCTTAATTATAAAAGAGGAGGTTGCTTTGGTAGACCGAGGCTGGAGCTTGCAGAGCTACAGTACATAGTGTGGCTCTTCACCAGAGTCAGCTGAGGCTTGTGGCTCTTACTCTCTGACCTGTTAGTCACTCCTGCCGACATAGTGGAAACATGATGACATCAATGGCACCGTTTTACCACAGACCAAGGTACAATGCGCAGTTTTCCTTTAACCAAAAATTGTGATGCAAAACTGTGGAATGATAGCTGCATTACATTTTGAGAAAAGGAAATCAGTGAGAGGGGCAAGATAATAACAACAGCAACAACAACTGATTTTTGTATAGCCCTAAATCACAACAGCAGTCATCTCAGAGACTTAAAAAAACCGTTGAAATCACCAACACAGATCAGAGAATCAACAGTTAAGACACAAAATATACGAATTGGTCCATAGGAGAGACCAATGTCCATGAATGTTGATAAATGTCCATACATGTTGAAGAATGTTAAAGTGTCCTGGATCATCACCACTGTCCTTCTAGTAGGACACTAACTGCCCAACAGACCCTCCTGAGGAAAAACTCACAAAAATCCAGTGGGAAAAACCTGAGAAACCTCGGGGAGACCCACATTTGAGAAAGGGATCAATGCCACGCAGCGGCCGCGGAGCAAATAACTCCAACTTGCTAAAAACAACTGTGATTGTGTAAATGACAAGGGAAATGAACTTGGACAAAAGCTGTGAAAAGTTGATTTTACAAGTTATGTCCCCTTTAACCATGTTCTTTTTTCTTCCAATATCTCTGACTGCACTTTCTTCCACTTTCTTCCATCGGCACTTTGCTTTATCAACCTCTGCATACTTCTCTCTGCTGCTGCTTGTTTGTGCTTTGAATAAGTCACTTCTCTGGGCTGACATTTCCAACTCTTCCATGGACTGAGATGGATGTCGGATCACGTTGTCTTTTCTCAGTCACGCTGGGGTCACCGCGCTTCTTTACATACACATTTTATAAAAGGTACCGTGCAACCTTTTTAAAGAAATACGGATGTTTTTGTGCGCGAGCGTTTTGTTGCAACGTCTTCCTTCGTGCGCTGTTTGATTTCCATTCTGCCTTTTAAGATCTGTAGCTTTGTCGACATTGAAGGAAAGTCAGAAGAGTTAGTCTGAGAAAAGGGAGATAGAAAAAAAAATGTTGTGTTGAGTTTATGAAGGGAAGAGCAATGAGCGCATTCTGCCATCTGGTGCTCCCTGACACAAAGATTAAACTTCTCATAGACTGTTATTTAACACATAACTTCCACAAGCCAAAAGATTTTTCAGCTGAAGGCATTTTTCCGACCTCAAGTATGAGCAAGAGCGGAGAAAAGAACGAGGGTGCTGTGAAGAGCACAATCGGTGAACTTATTGGGGAAAAAAATAGTACAATGAAATGTGTTCAAATTACTGAGTGTGTTCATAGCCTCCAGTACAAGTTTGGTCAGTGCTACTTTAGCTGTATTTTTATGGTTCAATGAGAGTTAAATGAGCTTTGAAATTATAATGTTCCATAAGTAGTTAACATCTAGGATGAGCCGTCGGTATTACAGACTTTTCAATGTAAGTAGATGGAAGCCAAATCGAGATGGAGGCAAATTCCGCTTTCCTCAAGGTTTCATTGAGCTGTGGGGTTAGCATGGTCCATCAATTTACAGTCTATGTTCGGAAGCTGTATACACATATATGTACATGTATAATTATAAGCTGTATAAAATAGATAGATGAATACATAGCTTCTTTATTGATCCTGTGGGAGAAATTCAAGAGTCCATTAGCAGAGGAAACTCATCCATCGATACAAACAAAACTAAATACATCATTCTAAAAGTAGCTAGTAATAAAAAATATACAACCATCTGCAGAAGGAACCATATTCAATTCTATCTTTTTCAAAATCTGGATTATATATCAAGGAATGAGTCCACTGATGTTACACTTAAACCTGCCCCATGTGTCATAGAAGGACAGGTCACACACATAGGACAAAGTGGCCCACAAGGACAGCCAGATTAATATCCAAGATGTAAACAAATGAGAGTCCCTTGTTACAGCGTGGCCATTAAAGTCTCCGCATAAAGACGTGGCGGTGGTTAACAGAGCCACAGGCGTTTAGTGGCACATGGCCTAATCCATATCCCTGACAGAGGCAGTCGCTGAGGTGCTGCGGTCCACTGCTGCCAGCTAAATCTGGGTGGTCTCCTGAGCTGCTCCTCTGTATTCAAAACCACCACGGAGCTATGATGAAGTTAGTGGAGAAGCAACCATGGCCTACTGTAAGGATGGGGGGTGGGATAAAATGGGGTATAGAGAGCCGTGTTTGTTTTTGAAGTTAAGGATTTGGTTATAAGCTATGTTGCTGAACTGGTAAACCACATACACAGGAAATAAGTAATACATTCCGTATAACTAGTTGGCTTTAACACAATGCATTTATTTATTGGTCTCTGTCACTTTGTCTATCAGCTTTTGCAGACTGAAAAGTGAAAAATAGAGTACATGGCAAAAAATGGGGCACAAGTATGCAAAAGAAAATATGTTTTCAAAGAAGAGGGCCGACTACTACTACCACACGCCTCTTCTATTAGCAGCAGTAGTATGTTAGCAATGCCTTTATCTATTGGTTTACGACTCTGAAGGGGTTCTTGGAAATCTGCCAAATTACAACAAGGAGGTGATCAGATATGTTCCCAGTCTTCAGGTAAAGATTAAACTCGCTTGTAGAAATGAGTGGGTTGTAAACCAGGAGCCACACCAGCTCTCTCTTGAACCAGTTTTACACGGACCCGGAGTGCGAAGACGAGAAATTGAAATACAAATATCACTTTATGCTTGATTGTACTGCACCAGATCTTTAGACAGACATTAACAGACATACATTCTCACATTTCCAAAGGCTGTCTTCATAATGCACGCTACGTTTGCCTCTGGGACGTGCTTGGCCTTGGCTCGGTCCAGACTTGGTCAAACTGTCTATGGATGAAGTGCAGAAACTACCGCAGGCGTTCAACTTCAACACGAGAGCATCTGATATGGATTCAGAGGCGCACAGATATAACTGTGTGCACATAGCTATAGGTTCAGCTCATGAATAAACAATAACTAGAATTGTTAGACTCCTCCATCAAGACTGAATGTAGGCGTTGGCAGTTCACTTCGAGGAATACAAGTTAAATGGTTGATTCAAACAATTAAGGGGATGTTAACAATCAATAAAGAGGCATAATCTGTGTTAGTGACCTTTAAGGATCTTGAGAGTTGGCTGGAATGAGCCAACTAAAAAATCAGAGATTACTAGAGCCATGGGTTTTTATGTTTTTTCTTTTCCCATACAGCATTATGTATCAAAATATTATTTAGTGACAGATTGACAGTGGAGTGGATCATATGTCTCACCCACAGCAGATGGAAGTCTATCAGCTCCTCAGGCTAAAACTGGGCAACGAGACTCAAGATGGCAACATTGTAATTAAAAACACATTTCTGGCCTATGGAAGTAATGCAGTCAATTCAACTACTCTAGTATTAGCAACTGGCTTTCCTAAAGTGCATCTACATCTTGAACCTTTACATGTTTTTGCATGAACATGCTTGTATGAACAAGCTTGTATGAACAAGCATAGATTTTATTTTGTATATTTTTCTAAAACAAGGTAACAGACAAACTGTCAAGGGACAGCAAAATAACATGAATTTGTTATTTTGGTTACTACAAATTACAATAACCTTCATACAGAATGAGTTTGGACTACTCTGGGTTATGACTATAAATTTTGCGCATCTAGAGACTGAAAGTTTTGCTCATTCGTCTCACTAAACTCAAGCTCTGTTTAGATTTGTATGTAATAGAATTTTATTTAGGAAAAGTTTCTTTATGTCCCTGAAAGCAAAAGAAACATTTGAGAAACCTTTGCTTTAACCTCAGTGAAGCAGGGGCGACAGTAGCTCAGTTGGTAGAGCATTGGCCTTAAGGCCAAAAGGTCGTGGGTTCAATTCCCACCTCTGCACCTTCTCCATCGACTCCCAGTGATGACTGCTGTCGTTATGCCCTTGGGCTCACCACCTGCAGAGGGTCAGTGAGGGGCTGGTGCTATGAGACTTGGGTGGCATCTCTGATTGCCACCCCCCTGACCCAGAAATGGATTAAAGGGTAGAAAATGGATGGATGGAGAATTTTATTTAGGAAAAGTTTCTTTATGTCCTTGAAAGCAAAAGAAACATTTGAGAAACCTTTGCTTTAACCTCAGTGAAGCACAATGTTTTCTTTTAGTCAGTTTGAAACAAGTTTGTCCTTTCTATAAAATGGTAGCTTGTGGAACTTGAGTTATTAAATAAAGCCCTATCGTTGGCTGAGAAAAAGGCAAACATGATTTCATATCTTTTCTGTTTGGTTAAAATGGCTCTTGCAAATATCTTTTTGAGTGTGGAATAAATGTGCATAATCTGTGAAACAGGCAGTGTTGGGAAGTAAGTAAATACATGAACCAAAAATGCACATTTTAAAGCACTCATTTGCTTTACACAATTTGCTATTGCAACAACACATCATCAGCAGGGTAAAACTAACCAAGTGCAGTATTTACTTCAAACCCTTATCCATTTAGAATCAATAATAACAAGTTCAATGCGAGCACTTTTTAACCTTGTGATGCATTTTCATACTGTTATATTACACTATACTCAGGATATTGTTTTTGGCCACCAATACCTGCCGACACATGTGGAAATGCGGTGTCGATTCAGGACAACAGTGGGGAAGGTTGTCGTGTTGTTGGACTTGTGTCTGCGTTTCAAAATGCAGGAGGCAGGGCAGCGTCCCCAAAAAAACGATGCACCCAGGACCCCATAGAAAAATGCAGTACAACAATTTTATTTTTTATTATATGGAGGAATATGATTTTTTTTACAAGGACAACTTTATATAGGAAAGAGCAGCGTTTGATGAAATAACTGTCATTATGAAAGTATTGTCCCTTGTGTGACTCCCCTGGAATTTGTAAAACTTCTTCACATGACCCATGAGTAAGCATGTGCTGTCTAAATGGCTTTTGTTGGAGCGTACACAATGAACAACGCCTCGGCAAAAAAGACTAGGTTTGTAGGCGGGTTAAATGGCGTGTCTGTTAGCTCAATGGGAAAAAGACCATATCAAAAATGAAGTAAAAGTAGTTGGCATGTCTCAGTGGTTGTGGTCAGAAGAGGGTGGAGTAATGGCATCCCAGCTGTAAAAGGCAATATCTCAAACATACATGAAATAACACTAAAACAACAGTGTGTAAATGACACTGAACAAACAACTATAACATGTCAAATTTAGCTTACGTTCCCTTTAAGTTTCTTTCTCCCTGGAATTCTGAAAGTGTTGCCATCTTGCAAACGGAGCCTTTGTATCAGCTTAACAAAGATGAGATACATTCCCCATGTGGACACATAGAGCGGCGCATAACAACAATAGCCAAAAATAGACAGCCCTATGCAATAAGTCATACCTTCTGTCCTTGTTTTGTTAAATCTCACTTTTGTTCTACCCCAAAGGCTTTTCAGGAGCGATTACTTCAAGTTATAAATGTAAAAAGTGTTGTATTTTTGTCTTTTTTTGGTCGCATTCAAAGTTGCGCTGAAAGGCCAAGGCAAAAATAAAAAAAAGATAAACAGCGCAGCGCAAAAGACAATTTTTCATTCAAGTGGTGCTTCAAGTTATAAATGTAGAATGTGGTATTTTTGTATCACGCAAGCAGCTATCCTGTTCAAAGCCATGAGTGGGAAGGCCATAGCAGGCATCTGGTTTGGCTCAAATCTGAAGGGACAGGGTGGATAGTGCATATTAAAAGTGATAAAGATGATGCGTTATATGATGTCTTGCAAAACGCGTGCGCTTTTCGTGACACTAATACAATTACAAGTGATGATCCGAGCAGAGCAGCGGCAACGGGAAATGCATGTTTATTATTCATTTTTGTGCCTTTCAGTCGTTGTTTCAGGCAAGAAAGCGTGCAGGCTGTGTTAAGTATTAAATCCAGTAAAAAGTGATTTCATATTAAGGAGCTTTGTGATCAGAATGTAAGAAAAGAGGCAACTAAAAGCTAGATGAAGTCGTCCAAAATACATTCTCCACTATCGTCAATCCTTTAACAAGTCTGACTGCTGTGTTTACTAAAAGGTAACTGTAAAATGGGTTTTCTCGTCCTCAGGGGGTGTAACAGAAAATAATTGGGCAGCACTGCACTAGGGCAATCTATAGCAGTCATGAGCTGTAGTCGCAACTGTGCAGCACCGGGGGCTCCATCACCAGATGTTGAGGCTCAGCTTGGTCAGGACTAAAGGAGCGGAAGGATTTGACCTATGGGGTATCATTTGGGTGATGGGCGAAACTGAAAATCCACCCAGACACATGGGAGAAACATGTTCCGCACAGAGAGGCGCAGTTCTCGGCTCTACACTTGCCATAGACTAGATAGATTGACAACAGTAACTTATGGCTCCATGAAGCCAATTAGGGAAGTGATCATCTAGTTGTGGCTCTTATTGACTTAAATTGAAGAGTAAACTCCTAGTGTTTGTGGCGCTTTCACCATTTTGGACTTGAGAATCCGTGGTTTGCGGCTCTGTACAATCTTGGTGTTTATATTTTGATCAGGTCTTTGTAAATCCAGATATGAGCTCTAATAACAGACCAATCTTCTGTCCCCGAAATTTGGCTTCAGTTACACACAGCAGGAGCAGGGATAGACTCCTGATTGTCGCCTTATTGCTACCTACATAGTCCAGATGGCTATAATTGGCTTCTTACGCACTAAAGGTGACATCAGAACTCTGTTAGTCCACTCTTTCTACGGTCTACACTTCCACACAAACTATCGCTCGGTCAGTACAATTACTGACAAGTACCTCTATTGTTTCATGTTGTGTACATACTATAAATGCGAGCAACAAGATAAAAACCATCAACTGTATGCACATTATTTCACAACCTAAACAGAAACCCTCCCAATAAGGTCAAATGACAAGCACAATGACAAAAGCCCCTTTTGTTCATAATACAGTCGAGTTATGGCAGCATTTTGTAGATTTGGAATGACAGAAGTCCCCACTTCCGCCCACAGTCATAATGTCTCCTTTTCTGCCACAGTTGTAAATACATTTTACAAGGCAGATGGACCAGAATATGAATAATCCACAGACGTTAAACCGTCATCTGTAACTGGACCAAAGAAAAATATTTCATTGTGTTCTGATGCTGTAAACAAACAATGTTTGCACGTCACAGTCATTAATCCCCGTTTAGTTATTTGCTTTTTGTAGTTTTTGGAGCGTGGCAGTCTTTGAAATCCATTTTTGTTTTGTTGGAGCTTGTGCATATGCTTAAAAATCCACAATCAAGCTGTGCGCAAGCCACTCCTTTATAAAAAGAAACCAAGAGGTATTTATCATCTTCCAAATTGACATTTTCTTAGCTGCTGTTCTGTATTGAAAAGGTGCTTCTGAAAAGACATAACAAAGGATTGCAATCTGTTTGTCTGGAAGGACACACAGTCACAAAGTCACTAAACGCTACACAATTAAAGCAGATCCTTCATTCCTGATGTGACATTGACAGTGAGGACCTTTATCCGTACGCTTTAAAGATGACAATTGATTGATTTAATGAGTATAGGATATATTGATACCCATACAATCATAATTACATGTGCACCTGCTAGATAAAATTTGAATCAACAACTACCTCTAATTGAAAGCATATAGCTGTAAAGACTGTATTTTGACTATAGAAATTTATAAAAGTAAATTAGAGGCCAAACCTTTGTTAAATTTTTCTAGAAATGTCTTATATTAGAAAATATACTATATTGATTTCACAATGGAGAAATCTGGTTTGATGAATAGACACTTACACATGTCACATCAAGGCATGCAGCGTGCTGTTACTTCCGCGCTCCTTAGAGGCATAGTGGGGTAAAGTGTCTTTCCCAAGGACACAGTGACAGCAGACAGTGGGGGTCGGTGGAGAAGGTCTTGCAGTGGGCTCCACTTTCAGGCTCAAAGGCCAATGCTCTTTCACCTGAGCCATTAGGGGTTAAGGGATTTCTTTTGAGGTTAGTGTAAAAATATTTGCAGCATTATTAGCTTTTAACTGTCTCAATTATCAATATACTAATTAATATTGCAACATGCTAATTAACATGTCTAAAATGTAGGCATCACCTACATTTATAAGAAAGAAATCAATCTGTAATGTGTAAATCAGTCAAAAATTAAATCAGTGAAGAAAACCCAGTCTTTTTCACCAATTTGGTTTCAATCCAAGCACAACCGTCCTAATTTTCTAATATGGGTCTGGATATTCAAAAATAATATGAATATAAATATGTATTTAATGAGGTAACATTGTTAACTCAAAATTGACTGAGGGATGTAGAACCATTTCCATCGCTCAAAACCCAAAGACGTGAACTGACCCCCGCGGCTTTGGTCCAGAACGGGACCGCGATCCCCCGTCGTAAGAACCCGTGTCGTCACAGCGCGCTCCTTGCCCGCGGGTCGACAGCCTCGTCGGGGAAATTCTGTGTGCGTGTCGTCTTTGATTCCGCCCTGCCCCAGATCTGCTGTCTAATGAGCTGAGTGCTACAAATCAATAATTCAACCGACTTTGAATTGCTTCCAGCCTCATCACATTCACTTTCATAATCAAGACCTTTCAGGCGTCCAGACACCAATGGCGCTATTCACTTCTCTGCACTCTTTTTCACCAATCTTTTTAGCATGTTACGTTGTGAGAAATATTTGGAATCCCTATATTCATACGCTCATTAAGTTGTATTTATGAATTCTGCACTCACAAACGGAGAAATCAAAGACGAAAAGTATTTTTTTGACGTTTAGAATCTATTTGAAAAAGTAGCACCCGTAATGTGCTTCCGTAATGAAGGTTATCTTGTAATACTTGTCACATCCCGACTGTATAATAGACATCACTAATGCATCTGATTTCTTTTCACTTTGTGCCGTTTCAAAGCGGTTTCCATCAATGCTTTTGGTGAACTGCTTTTCTTAGGGCTGGGCGATATGGCAAAAAAAAAAATCTCAGATTTTTTCACACCAAATCCGATTTTCGATTTTAATCGATTTATTTTTTTCTATTTAAAAACAAACTGCAACTGACAAAGAAATAGATTTTCCTTTATGCAGTTTAATCTAAATCCCCATGGAGCATAAGTGTAACAGGAATTAAGCCTTAAAACATGCTTGTTAACGAGATGGCTCTGCCATTGTAAACAGTGAAAATGTAGCTTAACAGTTTTATAATAACTTCACTTACAATGACACTATGCACCTTCAAAATAACTTAAATCACACAAACAAGGCCCATCGCAAATATATCAATCCTATTAAACACATGCATTATTTACATGAAATATCACATTTTTAAAACTGATTACTCAAAATAGAAATGTTGTAACAGACAGTATTTTCCAAAAGCCTCCTCGGGTTTTCATGCTTGTTCTTTCAACTGTGCCTGAGTAACTGTGCTGTAGTACAACGCTCGGTCCAGCTGGTGGCGCTAATACTAACTTCAGTGACTCCCGCATCGTGCGAGCTTCCTGTTTACATTCTGATGCTGTAGCTAACAGCTACTGTAGCAGCTACTGTAGCTAACAGCTACTGTAGCAGCTACTGTAGCTAACAGCTACTGTAACAGCTACTGTAGCTAGCAGACAGCGGGGAACACGTTGTTTGTATCAGAGCAATGAGAACAATGTGTGAGACGTGTCTTTCCCCAAAGTGCAGCGGCTCAGTGGGACACGAGTGTGTGCGCGCCACGGACACGGGAGTGCGCTTTGGAATAACGAGCGTGAGAGAGCGTGAAAGATGTGGCGTACGAACATGGCGTACAAACATAGCGACCGGAGCCTGCGTGCGTGTGTGTGTGTTCTGGCGATTAAATAAAGTCTGATTCTTGAACGTTTGAAGTGTTATTGCAACAGCACCAACTGTGAGAGCGAGCACATGGTGCGTTCAGACCAAACGCGATTTCTGCGGCCAAATCGCGTCTATCGCGCGGCTTGAGCCGCTTGTGACAAATTGTGGCAGCCGCTGTCACAGAGAAACTTGGCCGCGCGGCCAGGACACTAGAGGGCAGCCGCTGTCACAGAGCGTTGAGAGCGTCTAGGGGCGGGGCTTGTCTCTTTTGCCTGTAGCTTCCCAAAATGGATGTCAGCGAAGGAGTTGCTTGGCTCTATCTAATAAATAAAGCCAGACAGCGTCGTCAAAGGGCGAATCGACGACGTGTCTGGATTCATCAGATAGTCCGTAGACGGTTGGAGTTTGGTGAGTTTCACCATTTGCTCCGGGAGCTGCGCTCGGATGAGGGTCGCTTTCAGCGGTACTTTCGTCTCTCCCTGGCCCAGTTTGACGACCTACTGACCCGCATTGGCGCTAGGATCTCCTACCAGGACTCCAACTACAGGCGCTCTATTCCAGCTGAAGAGCGCCTGTCCATCTGTCTGCGGTTAGTGTTTTTTACCCCATTCAGAATTCCTAAAAACTTACAAAGTGTGTCATTTTTCAATCACAATCCACAATGTAATTGCTCAGAAAACAGTATTATGCAACAATATGGTGTCTATGATTACTGTCTATGATGTTTACTGTCTACTAGTTTAACGTATTTTATGCTACACAAGTTTTGTCACGTGATTTTTATGAATGTAATTGTGATAAATATGTTCATATCATTTTGTAATTGCAGGTTTCTTGCCACTGGGGACTCCTACAGGACCATTGCGGGGAGCTTCAGAGCGGGCATATCCACCGTCTCCATGCTCATCCCAGATGTGGTGGCAGCCATCTGGGACTGCCTCGTGGAGGAGTTCATGGCTGTGCCTGGAGCAGAGGAGTGGAGGTCCGATGGAACTTCCCTCTGTGCTGTGGGGCCATTGATGGGAAGCATGTGGCTGTGAAGGCACCCCCCAACTCTGGGTCCATGTTTTTTAATTATAAGGGGCACCATTCCCTTGTGCTCCTGGCTGTAGTGGATGCCCAGTACAGGTTCAGGGTGATTGATGTGGGAGGGTACGGCAGATCCAGCGATGGAGGCATCGTGTCCAACTCTGCCTTTGGTGAGGCTCTGCGCGAGGGCACACTCGACCTGCCTCCTGACCAGTGCATACCTGGAGCTGACCACAGAGGACCCCAGCCCCATGTGTTCGTGGCAGATGAGGCCTTTTCACTGCGCTGCAATTTAATGCGCCCTGCCCATCTCCAGGATGAGGATGAGGATGGCTGGAGATGGGCAGGTTCCTGCACCGAGGGGAGCTGCTGCCGGTGAAGAACCACTTCCAGGCGTGCAGCGGATGGCCGCCTGGAAGCCAGCAGTGGACATAAGGAAAGTGTTCATGGCCCACTTCAGTGAGGAGGGAGCACTGCCGTGGCAGCCCACAGAGTAGTCATGTCCACCACAAGACTGACCCACATCTGGCCATAGTCCAAACCCATATTGATTTGCACTATTCTATTCACCTGTATACCTTCTGTTTCTAGGTAATGACTGCCAGACTCCACTGCGACTCCACTCCAACTTCAGGTTAATCATATGCACATTCAAGCTTTTCCATAATTACAAGGTTGTTAAAACAGTAAAAGGTGAAATGAATAAAAAATACTGTCAACTACTGTATCGCTCTTTAAGTGTTTGTTATTCCATCTTCTATAAAACCCAGTCAGCTCTTATAAAAGTAAATGTACAAATATAGAATAGCATTTTCTGTCAATATTATATGAAAGGTAGTAATGGTTGGCTTGAAGTAGAACACATGAGGTTTGAAAAATATTTTCTTTATAAAAAAAGGAACAAACAATGAAAAATAAATGAAATGTACATATAAACAAATGAAAAGGAGCTTGCTTGGAGGAGGTGCGGTGGAAGAGGAAAGGGACACATGTCTGTTTCCTCCCCTGCAAAAGGTGTCACCTTAGGTAAAAAAAACTGTACTGGCCAATGGTTCCAAATTAAGCAGAACGGTGCTGCTTTCATATAAAAGTTGGTACATTTTGAATTTCACAAATTCTTTTGACTCTGGTGCCACCCTTTGCAGGAGAGGAAAGAGAGAGAGCAGGAACTGATGGTCTTCTGAGTAGTCGGGCGGTCCGGCTGCTTTGGTCCGTAGAGTCTCCAGCAGCTCCCGCTCCCACTCTGAAGGCCCACCAAGGAAGAGGGCTCGGAAGAGGCCCACGTCCGTAGAGCCGCCAACAAAGAACACAGGGCAATCACAGTGTTAAAAAGTGGAACATGTATTTCAAAAAAGCAAAATGAAGAGAGCAAATAATATCTGTATTAAAGCCAGAGTGTGTAGACATAGTTAAACACATGTAAAACACTTTTAAGTTGTGTGTTTGTTACAATTAACTTGAACATTGCAGTTATCAATGAAATTACTCACACATGCACAAATTTCGACAGTTACAAACTAATATCTCTGAAGTGTATTTCGCAATGAAATTTGAAATTGGCTGTAAAAAAGTAATACTCTATTGTCTGCATTAAACAGGATAGCTGCCATCTTGTGGCAACCATTGCATGTATTTGTTCAGTACTTTTATAGCATAAGGTATTTCAGTAGTATGTTTTTATCAAAGAAAGAGGGAAGATGTGTTGTATCAGACCAAAGCTTCTTTCCACCTGTAGTGCCTTGACATCTTGTCGTTTCTCTGTAAATTTGTCGTCTACACTGATGTAACAGCCCTTGGGTAATTTTGGCATATTATGCAGTAACATTTTGTTTATATGAACAGTCCTGTAATAAGAATAAAAATAAAACAATGATTAAAAAAAGCCACACCTGTAGGTGCAGAAGCAGGGGAAGGTCCAGCCCTCAGAGAAGAAGAACCGGCTGAGGAAGCAGCAGCAGCAGCAGCAGCAGCAGCTCAGGCAGCTCAGGCCAAGATGTCTCACCTTGTGTGGTGGGGTGGCAGTGTCTGTGCCAGAAGAAAACAAGAAATACAATTATTTCATATCATGTGTACATTGCGCTTATGACATTTATATGTACATAATAATGTACATTATTATGTACATTTAAATGATTTGTTCATATAAAAGGGAAAAGTGAAATTTAACACAACACATGATCAAGATCTATCCTGGTTTGAAAATAGCCAATGCCTATTTTCACCTGGCCATGATGTTAAGAAAGCATTAAAAGAAATGCATACACAGAAAGCAATATAAATGTAAAAGTCAGCAAAATGTGGGTAATAGAAAGGAAAGAAATGTATTTTTTCCAACTGTTCGAGGTCTCCGTTTGCTGCATGACACCGACCTTCAGCACCTCATATGTGTCCCTCAGATTCTTCCACCGCTTTTTGCAAACTTCCACTGAATAAACACATCAACTCGTAAGCAGGAAAGTAGTAGTTTTTTTCGCGGGGAAATATTTACAACATTGAAAAGTTAAAATAACTTACCCGAGACACCAACCACCTCGCTAACCCTCCTCCAAGCAAGCTCCTTTTTATTTCGGTCCCGGTAGCTGTGGTCCGCAGTGTTATATAACTCAGAATGAGCACCGACCTGAGCAATTGACGTGTCCTCCATAGCTGTCATCTACCAGTGTTTTTCCGGTAGTGAAATGCGTCACTACGTCACTGGAGGAGAAAGCTCCTGATTGGTCGGCACACGCGAATTCTCCCAAAAAGTTCAACATTGTTCAACTCTAGCGGCGGCCGCGTTGGAGGCACGAATCGCGCGAAACGCGCGTCAAAACGCTTGACATCTCAAAACACGCCGCGCGAATCGCGCGAAACGCTCGAATTCGCGCCGCTCTGGCCGCGCGAATCGCGCCGCGTGATCTCTCGCCGCTCCTTGGCGCGCGTCCCCCATGTTGTGTCAATGTAGACCCGCCGCTTTGGCCGCAGAAATCGCGTTTGGTCTGAACGCACCATAACTGTTGCCCGCGGTTGCCGAGCAACGGGAAAACTTTTTGGGACTACTTTATTTGTTGTCATTAAATAAACTTTTGGCATTCATAAAAGTGATCTGAAGTTTATTTTGTGTGTTAAGTTGGTACAAAGCAGTATAATAAGCGGGATAATGTATAGCCTACAGGTCATTATCGGAAAATAAGTACCGACAGGGCGAAGCGGACCATGATGGCTCCGCGCCATCATGGCGCGGAGCCACAGTGCTAACACGCTAACCGCGGGTGTTGAGCTCGAGTCATTTTGAAAGCTAGTGCTAACAGTTTCCCTTCTGTCCTGACGCTGTCACAGTTGGTGCTGTTGTAAAAACACTTCAGACGTTCAAGAATCAGACTTTATTTAATCGCCAGAACACACCAACACACACTTGTATCCTCCGGCTTTGGTCACTCTGCTCGTACGCCACACTTTTCATTGTCATTCATTCATTTCTCAGCGCTCACGCTCGTTACTCCAAAGTGTGCTCCCGTGTCCGCGGTGCACACACACGTGTCCCACTGAGCTGCTGCACTTTGGGGAAAGACACGTCTCACACATTGCTCTGATACAAACAACGTGTTCCCCGCTCTATCTGTTAGCTACAGTAGCTGTAGTGAAATGGAAACTTAACTCACACAACGCAGTTGTCACTGAAGTTAGTATTAGCGCCACCAGCTGGGCCGAGCGTTGTACTACAGCACAGTTACTCAGGCTCGGTTGAAAGAACAAGCATGAAAACCGAAGCAAGAGGCTTTTGTAACAGACTTTCTCTGTTATAACAATTGCATTTAGAGTAATCATTATTTTTTTGAATGTGATATTTCATGTAAATAATGCATGGTGTTTAATACAATTTGTTATATTTCCCATGGCCCTCGTTTGTGCATTTTAAGTTATTTTGAGGGTGCATTGTGTAGAAAACTGTTCAGCTCAATTTTTACTGTTTACAACGACAGGGCCATCTTGTTTACAAGCATGTTTTAAAGCTTATTTCCTGTTAAAGTTATGCTCCATGGGGATTTAGATCAAACTGCAAAAAGGAAAATCTATTTCTTTGTCAGTTGTAGTTTGTTTTTAAAATAGAAAAAAATAATTGATTAAAATCAATAGATAACTCCAAAAAGTACACCTTTTGAAATCTGAGTGAAAGTGTAAATAAGTAATGGGAGAAAGAAGGACAAATGTTGGTGTTGCCTTGAGGAACCATGTGACTAGGTACATCACAAAAAGAAATATAGAAAGCAGAGAGAGTCTATAAAAGTATGTGTATGCCCATTTAATACAATGTAATTGTTTTATTGAAGACATATCATTTATTCAAAAAAATCTGTATGCTTGTCTTGGCATGTGTGGGTAATTTGCTAGACAAATCATGATAGACAAAAACATATTTCTATCTTATTCTATTTTGTACGTTCCTGTGGACTCACCACCTGCAGGAGGATCAGTGAGGGGCTGGTGCTCTGTGTACTGGGTGCAGCTCTGACTGCCACCCCTCCGACCCAGAAATGGATTGAGGGGAAGAAAGTGGATGGATGGATATTCCCATTTGGATATTGCTCTGACTATTAGACACCAACTGCGGTACAAATGGAATTAAAAAACAATATTTTTGTCAAACTGTAATTTTAAAACATAAACATTCCGTATCCTTCCCACATCTTTGTGCGGTTGTCTTCGGGTATTTGCCGAAATAAAGAGTTGCTTAATAGGGACTTTTTGCTCTGCTGCAGCTTACTGTTAGCTCAAGTGTTAATGAGATTACACAAAGGAAAGTTTGCTCGAGGCTCTGAAGACGCCACGCATTAGGAGCTTATTACAGAAACCCCCCCAAACCTTCCCGAGTGCAGCTGCGGGGACTGTGAACTCTGGATGGGAATTAAGTAGCACCCATTTAAAATGCTCTCAGATGAGGGAGAACTGAAGAGGCCGGGTTTGAAACCAGGCCGCTGCTTATAGATCTAATGGTCTACTGTCTGACTCCATTCATCTGTTATGTGGTTCCTCCTCCTTATTTTGAAAGCACAGTGAAAGGAGGGTGGAGACTCCATATATGGCCTTGATTGTGTTTGATTTGTTATCATTATAGCAAATTCAGAAGGTGGAAACGCATTAAAGCTGCAGTGCCTAACTTTGTAACCAACAAAACAAAACTACAAATTACAATCCATGACCAGTTCAGAGCTCACAAAACAGTTTGGTTTTATCACATGCACGTATTTCTGGGAATCTTCAGAACTGCTTTTTCAGTGAAAAAGAGAGTACCAGCCCAGCTCACAGTATATAAATGTGATAAAGACAGATTTCTGTGGTCTGATTTGTTCACAAAATCACTAAACAGCAATTGCTTCCATGCACAGAAGATACCAAAACTCACTACAACAGAATAAAAACACTGCTTTAGGAAAATAAGCAATCACAGCCCTTGGTGGACTCAATAAGGTGATGGGTGTGTGGAAACATTATTCTTTTTTTGTGCCGGAAAGGTTCAAATTTGAGCTTTTTGCGAATGGCAGAATAAAAATACTATAATGGGGGAGAAATTATGCTTTCTGTTTTGTTTGTTCGTAAAATGACAAAACAGCCTGCGTCATTTCACATCTCAGTGTACCAATACTATACATGCAGGTACTAATTCTCTCTGAACCTGTATTTAAATCTGGTTTTGCGGAGAATTTGCCTAATTTCTGTGCTCACAGTAAGCGTCGAGTCTAGTAATTATCTTAATTGGATGCATGACAAGCTGCGTTTTTTATTATCTTGTAAGAGACACTGCAATTTCTTTGTTTTTCAACTTGAAGACTTCTCCTTTCGACCTTGTTTTGATGGAATTAAAACAGTACTTTCTTCTGGTCACAATTTGCTAATTAAAAGCAGATTTGGAGAGAATAGCGCTGTCACTCACAAAGTCGCTTGAATATGTTTTCAAGATGAATTTTAAACTGCGTATAGTTCAGACCAGTTTAGTCTTGGATTTATTTTAGTTTGATTTCAGCATTATTAAGAAGATTATCATGTGTCCAATGGCTTCTTTTCGTAAAGGGTAGTAATAATCCAACTAATACAGGTTCTCATCCCGCCAACTTCAGCTCTGCCAACATAAACAGTCCTTGTAAAGCCCAGAACCTCATGACTCCTGGTTCACTTAGTTGGACAATAGGTTTCAAAAGTATATATAATGCTGATGTAGCTGGTGAGAAAGTAAATATTTGTCATTCAGCCAACTTCAGATTTGTCAAACGCGATGTTCATGATGTCATTTCAAAGTAAAACAAAAAGGTTTACAGTATGGCCCCTGGAGTCTTCTTCACTTAAGTGGCCCTCTTATTGTGTTTGTTTTCATCTATGAACGTAAACTACAGAAGTTGTCTTATAAAAATCACTTTTCACTCATTTTAACATAAAGCAAACCTGGAGTTGTTTTAGCTTATAGCTGTTTCAATACCTTGACCTTGGTCTGTAAAATGCGCTATATAAATAAACTTACTTACTTACTCAATCATCTTCTACACTCACTTCTCTACCGGTGAACCCAAAATAAAGAAACAAATCCAGCTTTGGTCACTAGTTTTCACATCTTTTGATCAGCAAATTCTGACAGACAAGTGAAAGGGAAAGGACCAATCAGCTCTCAGCACAAAGTGTCATAGAGTGACTCAAAGGGCTCAAGTATACAAAAACATGACATTTCTAATAAGATGGAGACAGCAGGATGTTGGAAGAAATAATTGTGGGAATAAAAGTTAGGTACCCGACCAGATATATGCACCCATCCTAATGTGTTAAAAACCATATGAGCTCAGCCTCTTACGAGTTCAATCAATATTGTTCTTGTGTTGTTTGTATTTTGAACAGTTCCACCTGACGACCCGGTGATAGCTGGATTTCCAGTGGTCAGCCTGAGGGCCGGGGACCACCTGAACCTCACGTGCCACGCCGACAACGCCAAACCAGCTGCCTCTATCATCTGGATACGGAATGGACAGGTGCTGAGCGGAGCCATGTACTCCAAGGTAAGGAAGGCCCCTGCTGCCTGCTCCGAGCGCCAAGGTCGGCTTTCACAAGAAAAGCTGCCGAAATGAAAAGGCGTTTGAAGCAGAGTGCACAATAGCAGAAGGATGACATTTTGGTGGGAGAAAATGTGCTATTTTCTGCAATAAATTGCACAAATTTTAAAGTCTGACTGTTTATCTTCTGCATACAGTATTATTTTGTTTAGCACAAGCAGACAAGGAAATCGCAAAGACTAAGATACCAACAAACCCAAAAGAGACTAAAGATAAGCAACAACAAAAAAATAAAAGATTTGGAAAAAAGTCTCTTGACTCGAATTCATTTTGAGGATTTGTCAATGAAACAGGCATCTTTTGTCTTGTTGTCAGGCAGAAGCATTTTTCATTCCAAATGAGACATCTTATCTCTTTCATAATTTATATAAATTGTCAAAATGTGCACAACAAGGTCCCACTACAAGAATACTGTGAGAAAAAACACAAATCTTATATATATTTCAGGTTATTGCAGTGAATCTTTTATTTCTTCTTGAAAAAAATGGTTGCACTACTATGGCTTTTTCAAATGTAACTCTTGATGTTTTCATTTTCACGTTTTAAACATACAGGGTATCAGAAATCACATATGTAAATTACTCATACATATAGCATTTAGATATGGTGCTATCTGACACGGAGTGTTATATTTAATATCCTAGCTTCCTGGAATCACAGTTTCTCAGATTTAAACATACTTTTTGTCCAAGTCAAATTTAAAAGAATTGTTGGACCAGATCATATTCCACCTATGTGCACGATCTTGAGAGAATTTCATCCTGAAAGATTTTCAGCATCATCTGGCACATCTCCCCCGTCCCATCTGTCCAAAGGCTTTGTTTTTAATTAAGACAAAACCTCAGACACTTTATTTTCTCGTATTGCATTCGTTATGTCCATATGTTTTCTACTTAAGGAAGTACACTAAAATGTTAAAGTAATTATTCTCACAATCCTGTGTAAGTGCATAATATAGTATGTGTTCTTTAAACATCCACACACTTTCAATTCATAGAAGACTACTTTACCAACTCTTTTATCCAACAACGCGAGAGAATGCACTCTAAGGTCAGCCCATTTGTCTGAATGATACAAACTCGTCTGCTAATGTGGACCCATCTCCCTCGGTGTGCCTGGCCGCTGCTTCAAGGACAGCTGTCTTTGTACGCAGACACCGATAAGTGGATGATCAGTCAGTCTGGTAAGCACGGCAAACAATGAAATGTGTAGTTTGCTCGTCCTGGTCCTGACGTGACAGCGGAGAGAGAAGCCGTGGCAGTAGAACCCACCCACACTGTGAGCACGATCACCGGAGTGATCAAAACTATTCTCAGTTAAGAGTAAGCTGATAGACGTAATGGAATAGATATAAAGCACCCAATAAAAACATGGCCTGCTCTTTAAAGCTGGGGTACCTAACTTTCAAGCCACAAAAATAACAATGTAAGTATTATGTGATGTATAACAAATCCATCACACTAATTGCTAGCTCTCCAAACAGTCACTAGTTTTCACATGGATCTATTGTTGGTCTCTGTCACAGATTTTTCAGACAGAAACGTGAAAATGAGGGCACCACCGGCACACATCCAAGAAACCAAATGGCCAGAAAGGGACTTACTTCTACAAGTACGCAAAATGTGTTTTCTAATAAGATAGAGACAGCAGGTTGTGATTTGATTTGTTATAAACAATTATAAAAAACTCTTCCAAGACGCTATGCTGTTGAACAAACAGTATTAGTCATTAAAAAAAAAAATATAGGTACCTGAGCTGTAGATAACATATTGAGAACATAAGATATATTTCTTGACGAGAAGATATTATAGGGATTACCATGTATTTGGGCTGTAATTACACACACATTCTCAAAGCCACAATCGTGTCCCGCGGTGTGAAGAGCTCAGTGTGGAGGTGTGAACTGTCGTAAATGTCAGTGGTTTGATGACTTATTTTCCATTATTTTCCTTGCATGTACTGTATGTATTGGTGTACAAATACAAAAAAGGGCAGGATCAGAACTACAAATTTAGTCATAGTAATGCAAAATAATAATATCAACATCAGAATTTTTAAAGTTATGAAAAACTCCAAGTCTGTTTTTGATGAGGGAACAATGATGTCATGTGGCCTCCAAGATAAAAAAGACACATTTTCACAATATTTCTCATTTCTCAACATTTACTTAAGTCCATTGGATTAATATAAGTAACCACTGACAATATGTAGAAACCAAATCCCGTCCCCTATGTCTAAGGGTGTAACGGTTTTCATGTTGGATTCCATGTCCAATGAGTGTAGTAACAAACATGTTGGAGTAATTTTTTACACTGAGCCCCCAAGCCTTCCTCTCACCACCTCTGTCATGGTCTATCCAAGACGTACAGTATGTGTTGCACTGTCGGATGAATCGGACACAGAGCAGAGTGAGTTGTACCCCTCCATGATAGCAGTCATGCAGAGAAATTACCTGGCTCTCCAGCAGGGCCCTGGACTCCCGCTCACAATCTGTCTGTGTTTACCTCCGAAAAGATCCTGTCAAGACAGTGGATCGATACGCTGTTGTTAACAAGCAGTCGGAGCTACAGTGCATCCATACACTTAACTTGAGAAGACAAGGTACAAGGAAAGAACGGGGGTGAGAGGATCAGGAGGAAAACGGGTCAAATGATAGAATTTTCAAGAATTCATAAAGTTCAGATGTCAGAATATAAGATAAGATAGACTTTATTGATCTCACACTGGAGAAATGTACATGTCACATTTGGCATGGATAGAATCACTCAGATTGTGCAAAAGACGCAAGTGTGCAACATATTATGGTTAAAAGATATCGTCTGTGCAGGATATAATTATATACAATAAAATGAAAAAAATGAATACAAAAGATAAACAATTTTTGTGTAGAAACTTCTTGCGCAGAAGTTGTGTGCACTGTTTTTTAACCTTCTTTTGCACAATAAAACTTAAACACATAAGCACCTCTTTCATAGCTTTGACAGACATTTCCAGCCATTCCACTTGGGAGGCTTGCTTTAGTCTCAAAACACCCAAAACACAATTTTTAAAACCAATGACGTTCTGGCGAGATGAATCATATGAGTAACACTACAACACAGATGGAAAACCTAACTAGATCAAATTAATTTTACTCATATCACTTTTTGTATTCATCAGTCCGTGCCCAATCCGACAAATTATCAAATACAGTATGGCAGGGGTGCTCAATGCAACGATCATGACCCATTGTTTTCCGAAGGCAGGGTTGGTGGCTCGCTCATCCTTTGCGCCGTTTACACACGGATTGCAAACGTGACTGCTGCTCAACATGTTCTGACAGTGCATCCTCAAAAGAAAGAACAGAAAGCCCCCACAGCCGCATGCATGGACAAAGTAGACAGTTGTAAATGAGGTGCGGGCGTTTGTGACAATGATATGAGCCCGACGCAGTTGACAATAGGATTTACATCATGAGAAACACTGCATTAGAACGCTCTGTACTTTTGGCAGGTGTATGTGTACTAAATGTTTAAACTGATCATTTAGCTTTTTAATGTTCACTCCTTGAAGAAAGCCATGTCAAAATGAAAATAGTGTGTTTTGGATTTTCTAAGATTTAACACTTTTTGAACCCCTAGTTTTTGAATTATAGGCCTCTACAAAATACTTGAGATTGAATATGTTATTTTGAGCCAAACAAAACAAAACATTCTGCACGATACAGAAATCACTGCACCCACACATGGGCAACAAATGAAGGACAAAACAAAACAAAGAGGTACAGGGAGGATCTGTGCAAGATTTATATATTGGCTCAAAAAGGGGTGGGAAGAAGAAGACTTATGTGATCCCACCCCTTGTTCCTACATTTCCTTACTTAACTTAGTTCTTGGTGTCTTTCTACATACATAGATATATACATACTTACATATATACACACACACATAACTGTATATACATAATTATTTTTATTTATTTTTTCAAAAAAGATGCAGTTTGATGGTAAAAAATGATAGAGAATGAGGTAGGTTCAGTTCCAAGCTTCAAGTAGATATAGTGACTCAAAATGTGTTCCAACAAATGGTTTATTTCTTTTGAAAAAAAAAAAAAATGAGTGGCCTTTTCTTAATATAAATTCTATCTACATATACAAATTATTATTACGCTGTTTTAGATTAGCATAGAATATTGTTTATGTCTACCGAGACAAAAATTAATCTTTGTCCCACAACACTTCAAAGCACAATACAATAAGCGCAGATGCATAAGTTAATTCCCGTGGCTCCAACTTTTGCATTTAGCACGACTACAGCAGAAGAAACTAATTCTTTTTGCATTCACTGGGACTCTGAACAGCCAGTATATTAAGCCAAAATAAATAAATGTTATAGATTAATGATGAATACCAAATGTAAGCACAATGCAATACAGGTTTGAACACATGAGGATAGATATGATTATAGGCTACAGTTTTTCCAGCACAGAAAAAAAGTTAGAATACAGAGAACATCTATGATTAGTAAGAGCCGAGCAAAGTGGTGTCGTGCTACTGTACTTGCACTATTGTATAATGTATCCTAATGATGTGTATCCACCTGACCCTGATCTCAGACTCATCAGATCCTCGTCAGCGCGCAACGCCACTAATTAGGCTTTAAATGATCCTGACTACAGCACAGCGCAGCCCTCGCACCGGCACGTTTCAAAGTAATTAGGCCACTACATGCATATATTTGCCTGTAATTTCAACTTTTTGTTTACAACCTCTCGTTATCAAAAGAAAGTTTCATGCCTTAAACACAAGACAGGAAACGCAACACCACCGGCATAAAATTAAATCGTGACCTCTAATTTACACGTCTTCTGTTCGTCTGTGCGGAGTACATGGAAGCGCAGCTCACGTTCGAGAATTTGTTTTTGTTTTTAACGTTTTAATGAGGCTGACGATTTACACCAGCAGTGAG